CGTGGCGGGCGCAGTGGGCACAGATATGCGAAGCCAACAGAAAGAGAAAGATAGTGCCTTAGAGTACACCGCTTCCTCCTCCTCCTCCTCCTCCTCCTCCTCTTCCTCCTCCTCCCCCTTCCCCTCCAGTGTACGATGCAATCTTCCTGCTTGCGCACCGTGCGATGGGGTCACTTGTGGGACCGAGATGTTCTGCAGGAGACGCCAGTTGGCGGAGGCAGAATACGCTGACGCACTGAGAAGTGGTGGTCGGGAGGGGTGGGTAGGATGTCACAACGACTTCGCCAGATCGGGCGCATGCCCCGCCTACTCCTACCCTCGTGATCGTTTTTTTGTTATTCGTTGTTTTGCCGATCGGCGCGGGCCCTCGTACCCCCCTTCTCCTCCCCCCCCACCCCCTCATGGAGTAGATCTTGGCTGCTTCTTGGCGCCTGCTTCCGGCAGGTGGAGCCTCCCCCAGAGGACGCACTGTTGCAAACAGTCGCACTTAGAGCAGAGGTCCGGAGCCAGACCCCCCCCCCCCTCCCCCCCCAGGGACCCTGCCGCTGGGGGCTTCGGTGGAGCTCCCTGTGGGGCCACGATCCTCGTGAGGGGTGTGCCGAGATGGGCGGGGGGACGCACGCGGACCCTGCCGCTGGGGCCTTCGGTGGAGCTCCCCTCGTGAGGGATGTGCTGAATGGACGGGGAGACGCATGCGGGAGTCCGCCCAATGCCGAAACGCCGAAATTAAGAAAGCGCTCGCCTCCCCCCGCAGCGTGCGAACCACTGCTGGTGCAGCTCCTCCCTGGGACCCTCGCGCCCCCACCCGGCGAGGAGCCGGGGAGGCGCTCGCGCGCGGCGCCCCGCTTCCCCGCGGACCCCGGCGGGAGGACAGGAGGAGGAGGAGGAGGAGAGAGGAGGAGGAGCGGATGAGGAGGAGAGAGGTCCCGTCAGGAGAATGACGAGACCAAAGGGAGGAGGAGGAGTCCTCCTCCTCCTCCTCCTCCTCCTCCTCCTCCTCCTCCTCCTCCTCCTCCTCCCTCCTTCCTCCTCCTCCTCCCCCTCCTCCTTCTCCTCCTCCTCTTCCTCCTTCTCCTCCTCCTCCTCCTCCTCCTCCCCCTCCTCGTCCACCCCAAGAGAGAGAGAGAGAGAGAGAGTGAGAACTGGCCCGAGCCCGCGCACGGGCGGGACGGGGCATTCCGGCGGAGAGGTCGTGTTCGGCTCGGCGGCGGGAGTCGCATTTTTTTTTTTTGTTTGCTGTTGTTGTTGTTGTTGTTGTTGTTGTTGTTGATGTTGTTGTTGTTGTTGTTGTGGTTGTTGTGGTTGTTGTTGTTGTTGTTGGTGTTGTTGTTGTTGTTGCTGTTGTTGTTGGTGTTGTTGTTGTTGTTGTTGCTGCTGCTGCTGTTGTTGTTGTTGTTGTCGTTGTTGCTGTTGCTGCTGCTGTTGTTGTTGTGGTTGTGGTTGTTGTTTTGTGTTGTTGTTATTTTCTCTCTCTCTCTCTTTTTTTCTTTTTTTTTTCTCTCTCTCTCTCTCTCCCTTTACCAGTTTGAAGCATATCCTGACCTATACGACTACCCTTCGGGTGATAAGGAGGGGGGGAGGGGAGGGGGGAGAACCAACATCTGACTCAATCGATCTCACTATCGATCTCACTCAACGGGACACCACGGGACACCACGGGACATTTGTCGATCTCACTGTCGATCTCACTATCGATCTCACTCAACGGGACACCACGGGACACCACGGGACACCACGGATTACCGCGGGACACCGCTCGATCTCACTATCGGTCTCACTATCGATCTCCCTAGCGATCTCACTCAACGGGACACCACGGGACACCTCGGGACACCACATCGACCTCACGATCGATCTTACTTTCGATCTCACTCAGTGGGACACCACGGGACACGACGGGACACCACGGGACACCTGCCGATCTCACTATCGATCTCATTATCGATCTCACGTTTGGGACACCACACGGGACACCACGGGACACCTTGGGGCACCTCATCGATTTAACTATCGATCTCACTATCGGTCTCACTATCGATCTCACTATCGATCTCACTCAACGGGACACCACGGGACACCAGCGGGACACCGGCGGGACACCGCGCCGCACCGGCCGCCGGAGGAGTTACGCTTGGTCCGGCCGCGGCCCAGCCACAGGGGGATTTCGGGACACCAGCGGGACACCTGCGGGACACCGCGCTGCACCGGCCGCCGGAGGGGGTTATATTTGGTCCGGCCTTCGCCCAGCCACAGGAGGATTTCCTTTCGCCCGCCCACGCAGCTTCGCCTCGCACGCACGGCACGCACGACACGAACCCGAAACCGAAATCGACTTCTCGGTAGGGGGGGTCTCCGTTTCACGTTGGACTCACCTCCCAACCTCCGATCCCTATGTTTGGCATCACCTGACCTCGATGCCGACCTTAAGGATTCCCTCAGTTGCTGAGGGCCTATCCGTAATTAAGATTGTCCTCGCTTTTTGCTCGCCCATCTTAGGGATAGGGATCAGTTCGAGGCTGGTTATCTCTCACTTTCTTGCGCGGCCACAATTGTGATGAGGGCTTCGCGGGCAGCGCATGCGCCACGCCGAAGTGGCATTGCCGCTGCCACCCGACATCGGAGCGGCCCTGGGGTGTAATCTCACCATTCCGCCCGCTTGCGCCCGGCCACCCCGCCGCTCTCTGTCGGGCAAACGTAAGTCTCGAGTGCGCCGGAACTCGGGTTTGCCGACTTCTTTTGACGCGCCCGTCCTGGATTTTGACGGTCCCGCTTCCGTGGGGTGCCTGCAGTGGGAGCCCGCGTCGTCACGGCATCGCCCAACCAACCCGAGTCCCCCGTCCCCGAGTCTTGCGTGGCCGCCCAGGAGGCCCATAATCGGGAGAGCGAGGAAAGGCTAGAGTCGCAGGCCTAGAGGTTGACACCAACACCAATGTCGGCGGTGTGCCTCCACCGAGGGAAGAAGATCCCGACCTCGGTGATGGTGGTAATCTTCTGGCTTCCCAGGTGACCGAAATATTACCACCACCACCACCACCGAAAATCTAGGATCACCTTCCCCCTGTGGAGGCAAGCCCTCTGTGCTGGTGTTGGTGCCAATTTCCAGGCCTCCGACCTTTCCTCCTGTGAGCCCCGCCGCTGTCTGGCGGCCCCTGCGGGGGCGACGGGCGCAGAGGCGCCGCGCCCGGACAGATGCGCGCCGGCCTCCCGCCGGAGCCTGCACGGACCTCTCCCTCGGGCGGGGGCGGCGGGTCGCCCGCTCTCCAGCGTTACGTCGGGCGTGTCCCCCTACAGGGGGATTTTCGACAACAAACAAAAATACAAATTTTCGACGAAAATTAAAACATATCCAACAAATACCCCAACATGGTAAAAAAACATGCTTAAAACAAATAGTCCCCGGACGATTTTTTGATTATTGTTTGACTATGTGGGTTTTTTTTGTTTATTTCTCCCGTCGAAAATCCCCCCTGTACAGGGGGACGCGCCCGACATAACTTCAGCGGCGCGGCCCCGCGCGTCGCAAGGGGGCCCCGCGCGGGAAGCGCCCGCGCGCCCGCGCGGGCAGCGCCACGCTGCCTCGGCAGCTGCGCGCGGCTTCTCCTGGCGAGAGCCGTCGCGTCGCCCGCGCTCGCCCGCGGCCCCTTCTTCGGCGGGCTGCCGCGCGGGGGAGCGTCGGCTGCCATAGGCAGGGGGAGGGGGGAGGGCCTCCCAGAAGCACCCCTGCTTTCTAGAAGCCGCGGGCTTTTTGCATACACGCACACGCACACACGCACGCGTACATACATTTTTTACTTATATTTGTATTTTTATATAATTATATAATTATATTTATATACATATGTATATACACATGCGTGTGTGTGTGTGTGTGTGTGTGTGTGTGTGTGTGTGTGTGTGTGTGAGAGGCTGGCGCCGTCTGCGAAGCGGCCTCCTTCTAGGAAGCCTCCCCCCCTCCCCCTACCCCCGTGTGCGCGCCGCCAAGAGAAGTGTCTGTTGCGCTCAAGCTTGAGCCCCAAACCAAAAACACACACACACACAAATAGACACACACGCGCACGCACACGCACACGCACACGCACACGCACACGCACACGCACACGCACACGCACACGCACAAACACAAACACAAACACAAATACACACACACACAAACACAAACACAACACACACATACACACATACATACAAGCACACACACATTGCGCGCCGCCAGGAGAAGTGTTTGCTGCGCCCAAGCTTGAGCCCCAAACACACAAACACACGCACACGCACACGCACACGCACACGCACACGCACACGCACACACACAGGCCACGGTCTGTAGCTGCGGCTGCGAGACGTGAGCCTTTGATGGGCCGACACACACGCACACACGCACACACGCACACACGCACACACGCACACATGCACACACGCACACACGCACACACGCACACACGCACACAAGCACACACGCACACACGCACACACGCACACACGCACACACGCACACACGCACACACGCACACACGCACACACGCACACACGCACACACGCACACACGCACACACGCACACACGCACACACGCACACACGCACACACGCACACACGCACACACGCACACACGCACACACGCACACACGCACACACGCACACACGCACACACGCACACACGCACACACGCACACACGCGCACACACACACTCACACACACACGCACACGTTGCGCGGCGGTGCCACAGGTCGCCTTTTCGCGCAGGCTGTACGCCCCGTACCGTTGTCCCCCACGCATTCTGTAACGCCGGCGACAGCGCGTGCATGCTGAGAAGAACAACATCGATGTCGTATTGCTCGCTTGTGTGTAGGATGGACGGTCCCCGATTGGGCAGATGTCGGCTGGCTACTTGACAGAGTGAGTGTGCACATTGATGAGGGGTTTGGGATATCGCGCAACCGCATCTAGCTTGCTTCTCTCCTTGCTCCTCCTCCTCCTCCTCCTCCTCCTCCTTATTGTCGGCAGGGTGCTCTTCTTCTCCAACCCGTCCGCGCGCACGCGGAACGGTCTGCTGGTGAGGGCGAGCCAGTCCGAGGCCTATTCCTGCTCCTCCACCTCCTCCTCCTCCTCCGCCCTCCCCCTCATCCACATCCTCTTCCTCCTCCTCCTCCTTCGTCCCATCCTCCTCCTCTTTCTCTTCCTCCTCCTCCTCCTCCTCCTCCGCCTCTGTCTTCCCCTCCCTCCATCTACCGCTCCTCCTTCCCTCACCCCCTCCTGGTCGTCGTCGCCGTCGCCGTCGTCGTACATTATGCCTCCTCGTCCTCCAGCGTTTCCTGCTTCCCTCCTCCTTACTCCTCCCTCCTACATCCTCCGCAGACCCTACTCCCCGCCTCCTCTCCTCTCCTCCCCCTCTCCTCCTCCCTCATCCCTTTCCCTCTCCCTCCTCCCTACCCCCTCACCCTCCTCAACTCATCCTCCTGATCATAACTACTCCTCTCCTCATCCTCCCCTCCTCTTCCTCTCTCTTCCTCCTCCCTCCTTTCCTCCCCATCCTTCTCCTCCTTCCCTCCTCCTCTTCCTCATCCTCTCTCCTCTCCTCCTCATGTCCTTCTTTTCCTCAATCCTCCTCCTCTCCTCAGCATCCTCCTCCTCCCTCTCTCCTCCTCCCTCTCCTCCGCTCCTCCTAATCCCCTTCTCCTCCCCTCCTCCTCCTCCTCCTCCTCCTCTCTCAATCCTCTTACTCTCCTCATCCTACTCTTTCTCCTCCTCCTCCTCCTCCTTTCTCATCCTCGCCTCCTCATCCTCCTCCTCCCTCCTCCTCACTCCCTACCTCCTATCCTCCTCCTCCTCATCCCATCTCCTCTTCCTCCTCCCCTCCTCTTCTCCTCCTCCTCCTCCTCCTCCTCCTCCTCCTCCTCCTCCTCCTCCTCCTCCTCCTCCTCCTCCTCCTCCTCCTCCTCCTCCCCCTCCCCCCCGCGGAGCCCGAAGGGCGCGGCCTGGGAGCACGAGGCCCTCCTCCACGCCGGGCCCTCCGCGTACTCGGCCCTGGCCGTGGCCGCGCCGGCGGCCGCGGGTCACGCGGGGGCGCGGCTCCTACGGGGGGCGAGTGGGGAGAGGGTGTGCCTCCCAAACGACGACGACGCCGACGACGACGATAACGACGTCGGCGGCGACGACGGCGACGATGACGACGACGACGACGGCGCCGACTCCGACGCCGATGACGACGCCGACGCCGCGACGGCGACGGCGACGGCCCTGACCAGGCCAGGCCAGGCCGCGTCAGGAAGTTAGGGTGCAGCTTTGGGGAGGTAGAGTTTCGAATCGGTGCTGGTATATCTCCAGTCGAGAAATGGCCTTCTGTAGCTTCACCACACTTTGCCGGGCTTGATCCCGCTCAATCCAGATTGATCCCGTTGAATCTGGCTTAATCCTGGGCTTTTCCCGGCCCCATCCAGCTCAATGCATTCCTGATATGGCTCAGCAGCCCCCAATCGTTCAATCGTTCTGACGAAGACTTCCTGTGAGTTGCCTCCTAAGTGAAGCAGGCGTGTTTTCCCCTCCCCCCCCATGGGGGGGGGAGGGAGGAGGAGGGCAGGGGGGCAAGGAGGGGGAGGGAGGGGAGGGGAGGGAGGAGGAGGGAGGGGGGAAGGGAGGGAGGGAGGGCGGGGGGGGCGGAGGGAGGGAGGGAGGGCGGGCGGAGGGATGGAAGAGGAGAGGGGGCGGGAGGGCGGGAGGGCATCAGGATGTTGGAGGATAAGGAGGGAGGGAGGGTGGGAGGGAGATAGGAGGAGGAGGGAGGTAGGAGGGAGGGAGGGAGGGAGGGAGGAGGGAGGTGGAGGAGGAGGAGGAGGAGGAGGAGGAGGAGGAGGAGAGGAGGACGAGGCCGAGGTGGCTGAGTGAGGAGGAGGAGGAGGAGGAGGAGGAGGAGAAGGAGGAGGAGGAGGGAGATGGAGTGGAGGAAAGGAGGGAGGATGGATTGGATTGTTGCCGCTGATGAAGAACAGAGCTGTCAGCTAGCTCTCAGCTAGGGAGGAGGAGGAGGAGGAGGAAGGAGGAGGCGGAGGAGGAGGAGGAGGAGGAGGAGGAGGAGGAGGAGGAGGAGGAGGGAGGGAGGGAGGGAGGGAGGGAGGGAGGGAGGGAGGAGGGTCCTGGAGGAGGGAGGAGGGCCCTCCTCGCAGGAGGGGCCATCGTGACAGCCTCCTCAGGGGCAGACCTCGCTCTCCCCCGCTCGTCCCCCCGCGCTCTGCCTCTTCGAGATGGGCGCCGCCAGCGCCTACGAGCGTATCGCCCTCGCGGTCATCCCCCTGGCGTTGCCACAGCTGCCCACTGCAGGCCATCCTCGTAGTCGTCGCCATCGCCGCCGCCGCCGTCGTCGTCGTCGTCGTCGTCGCCGCCGCAGCCGTCGTCATTGGCGTCGTTGTTGTCGTCGTCGTCGTCTTCGTTGTTGTTGTTGTTGTTGTTGTTGTTGTTGTTGTTGTTGTTGTTGAACATTATTACTTCTAAAGAATAATTATTGTTGGGACCCCTGGTGCACGACCCCCCCGCCGCGCCTAGGCCGCAGCTCATTTTCATCATTTTCGGAGGAAATTCAGGCAAAACGGGTTGGTCCGGATCCGGTTGTTTTGTTACGGCCCGCTTTCCCTTGCAAAAAATAAAGCTAAAGTGGACATTTCTTGTTCTAACATAACCAAACTTCAAGAATCCCTTGCAAAAAATAAGGTAAAGTGGACATTCGCGCGCGCAAGACGAAATCCTTCCAAAACCTTAGTTTTCGTAGCGATTTTAACATAAAAACGTCAAAACACCAATGGTTTTTCAAAAAAAAATTGTCAAAACTTCATCCCGCGCGCTCTTGCGGATTTGTAGGAAACCCAACACTTTTTAAACATTTCTGTCAAACGGGCTTTTGCGAGCAACTTTTTCGAACTTCTGCAACAACGGTTGCGCACCTGCCAGGGCCATCATCCCTGTCAAATAATACCATGCGGGACACATTCGTTTTTTCTTCGCGCGCGCACGCCGTCGTCGTCGGCCGCGGGCCCTGAATAGTAGCCACGGTCGTCCGCATGCCACGAAGTGAAGTGTCCGAACGTCATAGGGCGGGAAGCTGGGTGTGGGTGGTGGCGAAGAGTCGTTTGGAAATTGGTAGAGCTTGAACCGGCCCCCCCACAAAGTGGGGGTATTGCCCGCCTCCTATGAAAACCCTGGCACTGGTGAGAACGGAGTGTCCCCACGTGCTAGTAATTGTTGTTGTTGTTGTTGTTGTTGTTGTTGTTGTTGTTGTTGTGGTTGTGGTTGTGGTCGTGGTTGTTGCTGTTATTTTAGTTGTTGTTGTCATTGTGTTGAACATTATTTATTCTAAAGAATAATTATTGTTGGGCCCCCTGGTGCGCGCCCCCCTGCGCCGCCTAGGCCGCAGCTACATTTTCATCATTTTCGTGAGGAAGCCTCAGAAAAGAGGGTGTGTACAGGATCCGGTTGTTTTGTTGTAATCCGCTTTCCCTTGCAAAAAAAAATAGAAAATGACATTTCTTGTTCTAATATAATCAAATTTCAAGAATCCCTTGTAAAAAATAAGGTAAAGTGGACATTCGCGCGCGCAAGACGAAATCCTTCCAAAACCTTAGTGTTCGCAGTGATTTTAACATAAAAACATCAAAAAACCAATGGTTTTTCAACAAAAAATTGTCAAAATCTCATCCCGCGCGCTCTTGCGGATTCGTAGGGAACCCAACACTTTTTAAACATTTCTGTCAAACGGGCTTTTGCGAACAACTTTTTCGAACTTCTGCGACAACGGTTGCGCACCTGCCAGGGCCATCATCCCTGTCAAATAATACCATGCGGGACACATTCGTTTTTTTTTCGCGCGCGCACGCCGAAATCTCCAAAAACCATTGGGCTTCTTAAGAATTTTAGCACCGCGCATGTATCATATGCATCATATGCAACAGATGTTCTGTGGAAGGCTTAACAACTTCTGTGGGTTAACAAGGCTTAACAACTTCTGTGGGTGTACGAACGTAGGCTTAACAACTCCTGTGGGTGTGTACTCCACGCCAGTGTAGTAGCCACGGTCGTCCGCAGGCCACGAAGTGAAGTGTCCGAACGTCATAGGGCGGGAAGCTGGGTGTGGGTGGTGGCGGAGAGTCGTGTGGATATTTGGTAGAGCTTGCGCTGCCCCCCCACAAAGTGGGGGTATTGGCTGGCGTCGCATGAAAACCCTGGCACTGGTGAGAACACTGAGCGTTCGGGTAAAGTGATTGTTGTTGTTGTTGTTGTTGTCGTCGTCACTTCTGCTGTCGCAGGCATGGCTTTGTTTTGCGATAGTCCACGCTCACGGTTACATCTGCCTGTCCGACCACAGGCACGTGCGTTTGCAGTACGTTTTGCCACCATGAAGACGTTGCTTGCAGCAGGATGCTTCTTTCTGGGCTGTGGAGCCGCGCTGGCTTGCCCGATGCAGCAGGCAGCGTGCTCAGCACGGCTATCCGTCCCGTCAGCGAGCCTCGTCGGCAGCTAAAGGCTGCAGCAACGCCGCAGGCACCTTGAAGTGCTAACAAGTCCATCGTGGGTCTCACGCTTCGGGTGCAGGTGGCAGCTCTGGTACGCACGTCTTCCCTGCTCAGCAGATGGAGGCGATCGTGTGGCGGCTTCTGCCCGCGCCGTGGGCGCCTGATGCGCACTGCTCCGCAGCTTTGGTGCCGCCTGCTGGCCTCTTTGCGCCACGCTCTGCCGGCTCCTGGAGGCAGTGCGGCGCCACCTGATCGGCGGCCCCTCAGGCACCGCGCAGCGTGGTTCGGCGCTGCTCTCCACTGCGTGGGCTTTCCTCTTCCCGCCTCGAGGGCAGGTGCTTCGGGCTTACCCTCTGAGAAGAAACAGTGCAAACATCTGTGGGCGGTCCTCGCGGACATCTCGGATCGGCGCTGGATCCACCATAGCGTTGCCTCCGGCACCGCCCCTGGCGCGCGCCGCGCGCCAGGGAGATGGTCCAGCGCCGATCCAAGAAATCTGCGCGGACTTCCGAAAGGGCATGTTCATATTGATGTATTTTCCTCGCTGCTCGCCCCGTGCCCATGGCCAGCGGCGCGCCTGGGGGGGACGTGAGAAGGAGAAGGTTTTCTCAGAAGGCGGCGGGGCTTCGTCCTCTGGCCTTCTGAGAGGGTTTCTGCGTCGTCGGGGAAGGCTCAGAAAACTTTTGAGAAGGCCGGAGGACTTCCGAGCCTTCTGAGAAGGCCCGCCTCTTCTCACTCTCCTCCAATGCGCGCCGCCCAGCATAATTTTTTAAGTCGCGTTTTTGTTTGTATCATTTCGGCCTCCGGTGGCCCAGCCAGATAGGATACGGGCCGAAACGCTGCTGCTGGGGAAGGCGTCCAGAGGTCTGGGGTTGCGGGCTGAGAATATCGTACCTGAGGGTGCATGTCGAGGATATCACGTGGAGTGCGAGGTGTCAGCTCTTCCTCGTTGTTCCACCTCCTGATTGCCGCTCGCGCCGTTTACTGGTGCACCTTCGGACTCAGTGTTGATGCTCTTTGCATTTTTTTTCGGGGGGGGGGGGGGGGGGGGTGATGCTGTTGCATGCTGTGCGCTGTTTTCATTTTCACTCAGGACGCATTGCCGCAACGACTACTGCCCTCCTAAGGCAGGGCGATCTCGAAAGCAGAAGTGGGAGCAGCAGCGAGGAGGAGGAGGAGTAGGAGGAGTAGGAGGAGGAGAAGGTGGAGGAGGAAGAAGAGGAGGAGGAGAAGAAGATGGAGGAGGACGCGGAGGAGGAGGAGGAGCAGGAGGAGAAGATGGAACAGGAGGAGGAGGAGGAGGAGGAGGAGGAGGAGGAGAAGATGGAGGAGGAGGAGGAGGAGGTCCCCCGTGGTCTCCTGAGTTGCCGGAGGCTTCCCCGTGCCCTACAGATCGCCGAGGGCCCCGCGAGGCCTGCTGGAGGTGCCCTGCCATGAGAAAGGGCGGCCTCCGGAAGTCTCCGCAGAACGCAGGAGGAGGGAGATCAGTAGGAAGAAGAAGAGGAGGAGAAAAAGAAGAGGTGGAGGAGGAGGATGAGGATGATGGTGATGATGATGAGGAGGAGGAGGAGGATGCTGATGCTGATGCTGATGCTGATGCTGCTGCTGATGAGCATGCTTCTTATGATGATGATGAGGATGATGTTGATGGTGATGATGCTGCTGATGATGCTGCTGATGATGCTGCTGATGATGCTGATGATGCTGATGCCGAGGATGATCATGCTGGTGGTGGGGATGATGGAGATGATGATGATGCTGTTGCTGATGATGATGCGGATGATGATGATGATGATGATGATGATGATGATGGTGATGATGATGATTATGATGATGATGATTATGATGATGATGATGATGCTGCTGCTGATGATGATGATGATGATAATGATGATGATGCTGACACTGATGATGATGATGATGATGATGATGATGATGATGATGACTATGCTGATGATGATGCTGATTTGTTTGATGATGATGATGATGATGATAACGATAATGATGATGATGCTGCTGATGATGATGATGATGATGACGATGATGAGGATGAGGATGAGGATGATGATGATGATGATGATGATGATGATGATGATGATGAGGAGGATGATGGTTCTGGGGATGTTATGATTATGATGATGGTGCTGCTGATGATGATGATGATTATGCTTATGATGATGACGCTGTTGCTGCTGATGATGATGATGATGATGATGATGATGATGATGATGATGATGATGATGATGATGATGGTGATGGTGATGGTGATGGTGATGGTGATGGTGATGGTGATGGTGGTGGTGATGGTGATGGTGATGGTGATGGTGATGGTGATGGTAATGGTGATGGTGATGGCGATGGCGATGGTGATGATGATGAGGAGGAGGGGGAGGAGGAGGATGAGGAGGAGTAGGAGGAGGAGGAGGAGGAGGAGGAGGAGGAAGAAGAGGAGGAGGAGGGGGACGAGGGCGCCGCGGGCGGACAGCGGCGTTGCAAGCAGCGTTCGGAAAGCACTTCAACGGCGACGCGTAAAACCTGACGTCGCCGACGACACCAACTACGGCCACACCACCAATCACATCGCCATAGAGGCCCCAAATGATTTATCAGGGCGCCACGGAATACAGCCGCGGCCTGCCAGGCCACCAGGAAACTGGGCCGGGACCCGCCCCAACGCCACCGACGCGACGCTTACGGCGACGATGGGGTTCTCCGCCGGCCTCCCGACATCCAGGCTGGCGCCTACTGCGCCTGCCCCTCACAAGCCCTTGCCCCACGCCCCCCGCGGCGGGCCCCACGCCCCCCCCCAGCCGCGCCCCGAGTGGCCGCGTGCCCCGAGCGGGAGCCCGAGGGGGGCGTGCCTGGGGCAGCGGCCGCAGGGGCCGCTGGCCAGGCCAGAGCTGGCACCGCCTGCCACGCGGCAGCTTCCACGACGGCCTCCTACGTCGTCCGCCGCGTGCGCGTGCCCCCCAACCCCCACGACGACGACCACGACGAGCCCGCGACGGCCCCATCGACGACCCTCACGACGACCCCCACGATGACCCGCGACGGTCCCCGCAACGACCTCCACGACGACCCCCGCAACGACCCCCACGACGGCCCCCACGCACCCCTGCCCGACGACCACCGCGACGGCCGCGCCCCGAGTGGCTGCATGCTCTGAGGGGGAGCCCGCGGGGGGCATGCCCAGGGAAGCGGCCGCAGGGGCCGCTGGCCAGGCCAAAGCTGGCGCCGCTGGCCCCGCGGCGGGCTTGGCATCCCGAGTGGCCGCGTGCCCTGTAAGGGAACCCGCGGGGGGCATACCTGGGGAAGCGGCCATCGAGACAGCCGAAGCCACCCCCTCGGAGCACCCCGCCCGACCCCACCAGCGCGACGGCCCCCGCGGCCCAATGGAACCACGAGGGCACCCCAGGACGGTCCCCGCTCGCGCCTGCCTCCACCGCCAACGACGACCCCCGCGACGACGACCCCCGCGACTGCCTCCACGACGACCCCCACAGCGGCCCCCACGCCCCCCCACCCGACGGCCACACCGACGGCCGCGCCCCGAGTGGCCGCATGCCCTGAGGGGGAGCCCGCGGGGGGCGTACCCAGGGAAGCGGCCGCAGGGGCGGCTGGCCAGCCCGCAGCCTGCGCCTCTGGCCCCTCGCCAGGACCCCGAGTGGCCGCGTGCCCTGAGAGGGGGATCCGCTGAGGGCATGCACTGGGAAGCGGTCATAGGGACAGCTGCGCGCCCCCAACACGCCCCCCCCCCTCGACGGCCTTGCCCGCCTTGCGACGGACCCCGCGACGGACCCCCACGGCGGACCCCGCGACGACGGACATCCAGAGCGGACCTCCACGGCGGACCCCCGCGACGGCCCCCCGCGGCTGCCCCGACGACGGCCCCCGCGACGAACCCTGCGGCGGTCTCCCTCGGCTGCGTGGACAGCGCTTCGCTCGTGGGCTTCTGGGCGGACGACAGAACAGCCGAACTGACGACCACCTGCCCCGCGACCCCGCGACGGCCCCCCACGACGCCCTCTACGATGGCCTAAGGGCGACGACCTCCGCGACGGCGGCCTCCGCGACGGACCTCCGCAACGACCCCCGCGACGGCGCCGGCCAAGGTGGGCGCGAAGACGGCCCCACGCGAAACCCCACGACGGCCCCCGCGGCTACCGAGACAGCCCCCGTGCCTACCCCCGCGACGCATTCCGCAACGGCGTCGCTGGCAGCCCGCGCGACAGCCTCGCGGACGCATCCCACAAGTTCGACTACGAAGACAACGCTGTCTAGTCAGGGGAGATAAGCCCCGAGGAGGACGAGGGCGCCATTTCGGACGACTCCGACACGACGAGCCCACTCCTTGCCGCAAGACGGCATATTAGAGATGAACACCTCCCCCCCGCGCCACGCAACGCACGCCGCGACCCACAGCGCACCCCTGCGCCGCCGCCCACTCCACGGCCCCCTCGAAGGCCACCGCAACCCCCCCTACCCTGAATGACAGCCCCCACGCCCCCCACCCAACGGCACCCACGACGAGCGAGGTGGCGAGCTGTCACTTTTGTCAATCAATGTCCGGAGGCTTGGGGCCGTGAGCCACCTCGCCCAACAATTCCTCCTTCCTGCCGCCGCTTGCCCCTTAACTGGTCCGCTCAGTCCCCGCTTCACGAACCGACGCCTTCTCGCTCATGTGGCGGCGGGGGCGGTCGGTTCCATCATGAGTGGGGAGGGAGTTCTGCGCTGGTCGCTCTTTGCTCCCCATTTCCTCTCACCCGCCTTTGGCCCTCCTCCGCCCTCTCGCTCGCCTCCCCCCTCTTCCTTTTGCACCGATTCGACAAGTGCACCTTGGCTACCACACACGGTTTGCCCACCCCGCTGAGTCCATGTGGGCGCGTGCTAGCCCGAGAAGACTTGGCCATCAGCACGCGAGTCTTGGGCCCGAGGATGTCTGGTATGCGCCTCACACAAGCCCTGGGTAGCAGCCCTTTGCTGAGCGGCTCGTCGCTCCAGTGGCAGGCCACAGACGGCATCTGAGATCTGCCCTTGGTGAGAGCCTCCGGTGACTGCCGCACGTACTTGGGCATGGTGGGATCTGATGCACCGCTCCTCCTCCTCCTCCTCCTCCTCCCCCTCCTCCTCCTCCTCCTCCTCCTCCTCCGGGCTGTCGGGGGTGGCCTGGGACTTGGGAGGGGGCGCGCTTAGCAGGAACACCCGTGTCAAGACGCACAGGCGTCGCATCACGGGCAGCTGCCGCACGAGGCCACCGCCGCTGCCGCGACGGCGGCGAGAGCGGCCACCGCCGGCGAGCGTGGACCCCCACCGCTGCCGCAGCCTCCCCCTCCTCCTCGTCGCCCTCCTCCTCCTTCGAGGATATGACGGTGTCCACCCTATTTCCGTTAATGACCCCTGCCGTTTACGCTTTCCTGTCTATCCCGGCGACTCTTTGAGCGAAGGCTCCAGGAATCGTTTGGCCTTGGGCTGAGCGGCCTTGGGTGGGGGCAGCAGTCGAAGATCTCTTATGCCAGCAGGAACCAAAACCAGGAAGAGTGGGGAGAGGAGGAGGATGAGGAGGAGGAGGAGGAGGAGGAGGAGGAGGAGGAGGAGGAGGAGGAGGAGGAGGAGCAGCAGCAGCAGCAGCAGTAGCAGCAGGAGGAGGAGGAGGAGGAGGAGGAGGTGGAGCAGAGGGGAGGAGGAGGAGGAGGAGGAGGAGGAGGAGGAGGAGGAGGAGGACGAGGAGGACAGTGTAAACCCAACACCCATCAACGAAGTTGGGAGAAACCCTCCCTCCAAGCTCCTGCTTACTAGGCCCCTCCAAGGTTTCATTTGTTTGGGGAAGTGCCCCGTTAGGGGACAACCGTTGGAAGATCCTGAAGCTCTCCGAAACACCATTTTCGGAACGTCAGTGTCGCGGAACAGCTTGTGTGCGGCGTTTTGGCGATCCCGAATCGTGCCAAAACACCATTATTGGGACTTCGGCGCCGCGAATCCACGTAACTGCTGCGCCCTGAAAACCATGAATCGTTCCAGAACTCCATTTCTGGTACCTTAACCATCGGAACCCGTGAAACGTTTGCAATACCTGAAGGTGAATCTGCGCGGCGCTAAGGTGCGATACGCAGTGTGAAGATGAACCGCTTTCAATCCGTGGGGCATCTGGAATTGTTTAAGACGAATGTGCGCGGCACTAGCGACCCGCCCTCAAGACGCGAAGCTCTCGCAATTATCTAAATCGAGTGCGCGCGGCGCTAAGGCGAGTTCTGTATTTTGAGAACGGCCCGCCCACGATCGGCGATTCTCATGCGAACTGTTACGACAAGGGTGCACGGCGCGTGGGCGGGAACCGCATCTTGAAAACCGCCTGCCCTCAATCCGTGAAGCCCTTCCATGTTTCAATGCGAGTGCAAGCGGCGCTGAAGCGGGAACCACATGTTGAAAACCACCCGCCCACAATTCATGACATGTTTGGAATGTCTAAGACGAGAGTGTGCGCGGCGCTACAGCGAGAGCCACATTTGCAAACTTCCAAGGTTGAGCAGCATCAGTGGTGAGGAAGTCTCAGGCGAGACGCCGGGCCCGCCTCTCTTACTGGCCTCGGGGTGCGACAGGGAGGAGTTATGTGTAAGGAAAAGGCATGGAATGGAGGAGGAGGAGGAGGAGGAGGAGGAGGAGGAGGGGGAGGAGGAGGAGGAGGAGGAGGTGGAGGAGGAGGAGGAGGAGGGGAGGAGGAGGAGAGGAGGAGGAAGGGAGGGAGGATGAGGAGGGGGGACGAGGAGGAGGAGGAGGAGGGGGGAGAGGGAGGAGGAGGAGGAGGAGGAGGAAGGAGTGGAGGAGGAGGAGGAGGAGGAGAAGCAGGAGCAGGAGCAGGAGCAGGAGCCGCACGCTCGTCGCAGGCTGACGCCGCCCGCCTCGTCGCCGGCGCGGGCGCGGACGCCCCTGCCGGGCGCGGGCGCAGGGCGGGGGCTGCCTGGCGGCCCCTGCGCGGACGAGCCCTGGAGGACGCGGGCGCGGACGAGCACGAGGAGCTTCTCCTCTTCAGCCCTTCCTCTTGCCTGCCGCCCCCTCGCTCCTCACTCCGCGCCCTCCTCCTCTTCAGCCCTGCCTCCTCGCCGCTGGCTCGTTCCTCCTCCTCCTCCTCCTCCTCCTCCTCATCATCATCATCATCATCATCATCCTGCCCCTTTTCTTCCCATTCCTCCTCCTCCTCCTCCTCCTCCTCCTCCTCCTCCTCCTCTCCCCCCTCCTCGTCCTCCTCCTGTTTCCCCTTCTCATGCTGAGGTCTGCTTCTCCTCTTCCCCCCTGCCTCCTCGCTCCTCGCTCCCCCCTCGCCACCCTCTCACCGACGGAGGTGTGGGGGAGGAGAGGGATGATGGAGGTGGAAGGCGGTGCAGGGGCAGGGGGAGGGGGAGGAGGATGGATGGATGGATGAATGAATCGGGGGAGTGCCAGGGAAAGCAAGATAGAAGGAGGAGGATCAGCAGGAGGAGGAGGAGGAGGAGGGATTAGCAGGACGGCCTCGATCACTGAGTGAGGAAGATGATCTGGGAAGGATGATGAGGGAGAGGAGAAGGAGGAGGAGAAGGAGGAGAAGGACGGGGACAAGGAGAAGGAGGAGGAGGAGGAGGGGGAGCAGGAGGAGGAAAAGACGGCGGCAGGAGGAGGAAGGTCGCAGATCAAGGCGTGGACGGGGGCCTCTTCCGGTCGACGCTCCGCCTTGTTTGTTTCTCCTTATGCTCCTCCTCTTGCTCTTCCTCCCTTTCCTCCTCCCCTCTCCTCCTCCTCCTCCTCCTCCTCCTCCTCCTCCTCCTCCTTCTCATCATCACCACCATCACCATCATCACCATCATCATCACCATCATCACCAGCATCATCATCATCATCATCATCATCATCATCATCATCATCATCATCATCATTATCATCATAATCAGCATCATCAGATTCATCATCATCAGCAGCATCATCATATATTTCCCTCTCATGTTACTCGTACTTCTCCGCCTCGACCCCTGACCACCAACATTACCAGCTTCCCAAACGTAGTGCGGGCACTACCATCATCATCATCATCATCATCATCATCATCATCATCATCATCATCATCATCATCATCATCATCATCATCACATTCATCATCATCATCATCATCATC